ACCAACTGTTGTCACCTTCTCACCAAGCTGCTTGGCAATGGTCTTGTAGCCCATTCCAGCCTTGTGTAGGTCTACAATATTGTCCCTGACATCCTTGGAGAGCTCTTTGGTCTTGGCCATAGTGGAGAGTTTGGAATCTGATTGATTGATTGCTTCTGTGGACGGGTGTCTTTTATTCAGGTAACAAGCTGAGATTAGGAGCACTCCCTTTAAGAGTGTGCTCCTAATCTCAGCTCGTTACCTGTATAAAAGACACCTGGGAGCCAGAAATCTTTCTGATTGAGAGGGGGTCAAATACTAATTTCCCTCATTAAAATGCAAATCAATGTACAACATTTTTGACATGCGTTTTTCTGGATTTTCTTGTTGTTATTCTGTCTCTCACTGTTCAAATAAACCTACCATTCAAATTATAGACTGATCATTTCTTTGTGAGTGGGCAAACGTACAAAATCAGCAGGGCATCAAATACTTTTTTCCCCTCGCTGTATAGTCGCAACATAGTAAAAGTAATCTTTTTGCACAAAGCACACAAGTGCAAACGTTTCTCCGTTATATTCTTATAAACTAAAACACTGCAGCACTATCCTCCTCGCAACCTCTAAAGTTAAAACATGTCATTATCTTGGGGAAAACTCAGAAACTTCTTTCTATGACATCTCCTAATGATGGGGTTTTATTTTTTTCTCCCAAGTATACGTATGCAATTCCAACTTTGGCATTAGTCAAGACAATCTGACAGTGGGAAATTACACAGGATATGCCTGGAGCCCTCCACAGTGGTTCTGCCGTCGTATTTTGTTTATAATCTCGATAGCCATTCGCCAATGACGCTTCGTGTCATGTAGATTGCGCCAAAAATTGCATGCTGACACTGGCACCGCCAACAAAGTGGCATGCTGGCTTTTGTGTTTTCTATAATGGTTGGAGATTTTAAATGAGTATTCATTAAGATGACCAAATTGTATGTTAGAGAAATTACTATTTTTTTTATCGCGATAACCACAGATAATTACACGACTACCGTGATACGAGTTTGATGATTTTTCTGTTTTGAGTATGAAAACTCTTCAGGGAAGAAGTGTAACCTGCAGAGCAGACAAACCCGTTCTAGAAGGCCTAACGCTGCAAAGCAAACTTTAAGTTTCTGTGAGCCTACTTTCACCTCAGCTGCATATCAAGGTCGAAATCAGATCCTCTGTCTGAAATTGCATGCTGTCACTTTTCCGGCTCAGCGCTAAGACTCCTGTGCCCGGTGACAAGTGAATTTTTTTTAATAAAAAAATTATAATCTTTCTTCAGACTATTTTTTATGTGCAATTAGAAAAATATATTCTGAGCTCATTACTGATGGAAATAACACGTTCTTATGCTAACCCTGTACATAACCGAGGGACATAACTTAGCATACAAATAAACTAGCTCTTGGCTGTCTGTTAAATAATCACTGTTCTATATTAAAAAATTTAATCATTTTCTAGGTTAAATTGTGGAATCATTATGCAGGCATTATTTATATATTCACAGTATAAATGCTTCGTACTTGCAGATCTTATTTTGCACAAATTAAGGATATGCATATTGATTATACATTCCATTACATGGAAAATATGCAGCGCATCCACGTGTTATTTTTTATTAGATTAATTCTAAACGGGCATTTTATTGATAATCTCTACAGCTCAGAGGTTTAGCCTTAATATTGATTGTCTGTAGTTACTGTGCTGTTTTAAAAGGTGTCATTTTATATTTGATAAAATTCTGAGTGCACTGAGCTAGATTTCCAGCCACATCCAAGGTTAGCGAAACACAAGCAGGTACCTGCGGAACTCCAGCGGTAAAAGGGTGGTGAATATGTAGTTTTTTATCATCAATCCCTCTCCTCCACCTCACCAATGTCGCGTGACGTCAACCCCCTCTAATCACAAACGCACCCCAATCGAGCATGACGTCATCACCCTCTGCTCCAACTCACCAGTATCAAGTGACGTCATCACGGCTCCCAGCTCACTACCTGACGTCAACCCCCCCCCCCCCTTTTTCTCACATCACCCCAATCTTGCGTGACGTCTTAAACTCCTCTCACCATATTCTTTGGGTCTTTCGGTAAAGTCACGTAGATAAGAAAATAACAAAAAACTACGACGTTTGGATCACAACACAAGCAATCGTCATCAGGAGAAAAAAAAATGTCTTTCCGTTCGACCTTCTGCATGAGTGTAAAAACCAACCCGCGGAGGGGGGGTGGTGGCATGTGGAGTGACGTCACGCGCGTTACACACAGACATTCTTGGTTCATTATAGTAGTAACCAACAGCACAGTGTCTCTGAGGTCATCAGCCCCTCCCCTCCACCTCAGCCCAATCAACCCCTCCCCTCCACCTCACCAACGCGGGGTCATAACCCCCCCCTCTCCCCTTCTCTCCACCCGGCCAGCGTTACAGAAATACCAACAAGCATATTATTCCTTCTATAATGAGCCAAGAATGTCTGTGTGTCCCGCGCGTGACGTCACTCCACATGCCGCACCCCCCGTCATGAATATTCATGAGCTGGTGGATTTTTTTACACTCACGCAGAAGGTCGAGCGGAAATATTTTTTTTAGCAAATTCGCTTTAAGTTTTACGTTTCTTTATTGAAAGTCAATCTAATAAATAATTATACGCAGCAACAAAGTGCATTCGGTGTCCTTATTTATTTCTTCAGCACTTGAGACAAAAGGTAAGTAATTTATGCTTCTACATTATGGTAAAATAGACATTTCTCGTTGATTTTCCAGAAATTGTATCGAATTCAAATTTATTTCAACCCCAGCGACCGAAAGCAGAAGAGAATCAAGTGTCAGAGCAGTGAATTTGAACAAATTGAAGGTCAGTTATATACAGTGCTACAGTGACATGAAGTGAGGTGTTTTATGGCGTATTTTTGTGCCAGATTCACTGCCATTAAATTTACACAAGATACAATAATACTCTGCTCAATTTTTTCGTAAATATTACAACTTCCATCCTAGGATGGGAAAAGAAGCTAGTACCTACTATAATCACCCAGGAATGTCTGTCTTTAACGCTCGTGACGTCATTCCACATCGACCAGCCCCCCTCATTAATATTCATGAGCAGGTGACGTCCTCCAAATGGACACCTCCCTTCCCGTCATTAATAATCATGCGCAAGTGACGTCACTCCACATCGAACAGCCCCCCTCATTAATAATCATGAACAGGTTACGTCATCCAAATGGACACCCCCCTCCCGCCCCCGTTATTATTACCTACTATAATGAGCCAAGAATGTCTGTGTGCAACGCTCGTGACGTCACTCCACATCGAACAGCCCCCCTCATTAATAATCATGAGCAAGTGACATCACTCCACATCATTAATAATCATTATAAGGTGACATACTCCAAATGGACCCCCCCAATTCATAATTAGTGGCTGACTTCACTCCACATGGAGAGCTGAGGCGCCTCCTCCTCCCTCCTCGGCGTCAACTCACAACCCTCACTACAAAGGCAGAACCTTCTCGTCATCACGTGATCGAGACATCAAAGTAAAAAGGACATCGTGATGAACAAGGTATTATAACCTTAAAATCAAATAGGTCTGTGTCACCGCGGCCTTACAAACTGCACACGAATTGATGCAATGAATATATCACGTCGCGGTCTGATTTTTGCTTGCAAGTTTCAGATTTACTGCAATACACCCGTCCTTGGGCGGGCAAAAGGCTAGTGGATGGAGATGGTCAAAACAACCACAGTGATGTGGGGAGGGCCTTCATCCAACAGTGCCTTGACAAAGACCTGCTGTTATTATTATTTCTGTAAAAATTCTGCACATGATTTACTTAGAATGGACATTTAATACCATATGTGTAAGCATCATGAATGAGTGTGTATGGCCATATTCCTATTGACTACAGGAAAGTGGGTTTGGGCAGGATGCATCAGTAACAGAGATGACAGTCGATGGATGAGACTGATGATGGAATGACAGCAAAAGGAGTTAACATGCCCAGGAGATAAGGTGATGAGTCACGCTCATGTGCAGGCATGATATGGATTGTGCCATTGCAAAATCATGAGGGATCGCAATGGCGTGGACAGACCTTTCATCCAGCAGTGGCTAGACATTGGCTGATACAGTAACAATAATGATGACCACGTATGGCACAAGCCATCACATAATACCTTTGCCACCCACACCCATGACTTTAAATAGATTTTTTTAATTAATCTCCAGATTAAGTAAGAGTCAAGTTGCGGTTACAGTGCACTTTGGTCTGTGTTTCGCTGTACACCTTTAGACTCGGCAGGTATCACGAGAAAAGGTTTCACCTGCTTTCAATACTCCCTATTATGCTTGGATGATACGTATATTTTTGGATTTATAATTTGATATTCTGAATGTAGCCGCATTGACAGCTGAACAGGTTAAACACATTCTAGCTACGTTTCATGTTCCAGCATAAAAAATATGGATTTAGTCTAAATGGCAGAAAGAAGGGAGGGGGAAAAACCCCCTGCGGTTAAACTAAAAATAGTTCACAAAGTCTGCATTTCCAAACTGCCCAAACTAGGCTATGTTGTATACATGTGTATAGGCAATGCATATTTCATTCCGTGAAACAAATATAGTTTTTGTTCTTCCAGTATGCAAAATTGTCAATTTATGCTGTTGGCAGCAGTTCCATGAGACAATGAGCCACACAATGGGGTTGTGTACAGAAAATAATATATGAACCGACAAGGAAGACTGTGCTTACTCACACTGGATGAATATTTCTTCATGAATGGCAACTACCAAACTCTCTGTGCCAAGTGCTTAAAAACCTTACACACTAATGTTTGAACATTTGAGCACGTGCTGCAGAACCGATGACTCAGTACTGACAGCATTTTAACCGGCACGGAGCTACAAGAAGAGTGCGAGAGGTCTCGCAGTTCTCCGAGTTGTGGTGTATTCCAATAAATAAAAAAACAGTGTGCTGCTCACCAGGAGGCGAGCAGCGTCCAGCGCGCTGGGCTGCCCCGGCTCCCCGTAGCAGCGCATGTGCAACGCCGAATTTCCGTCCGCATCCAGCACGTTCACGGCCCCACCGTGCTCCAGCAGCAGCTGCAGTGAGTAACAACAAAGCAAGCACAGCACAGCACCGTGCTGTAAAACCCATTTCCCACTGGCACGTCCGAGCCGCGCCAGCGCCAGGGTGCCCTTCTCGGCACAAGCGGTGGTGCTCCACACTGGCCGTTTGCCGAGATCGGCCAGAACCCGGAGCGTGCACCTCACGAGATAATCTCAATGTGTCGAGGTCAGGCTCCAAGCAGGGCCAGGGGTTGGGGGTAAATGATGCCCGTCACGCTAAAGTGACTAATGTGAGATGTCGGCAGCACGTCTCTGCTCCTGAAGTTGGAAAAAACAATCTGGCGCCTCCAGAGTGACGTCAGGATGGCTTGTTGTGCAGTGTCTCTCTGTTCTTTGTAAGGGCAGAGCAGCTCCTTACTTGTCTTATTTTTATAATCATTATAATTATTTATTAATACTCCTTTGTTTAGCTTTAAAAAGCCCACTGAGATTAATTACCTCTTTATCTTGTATTCTTTTTGATCTTTGTTCCTAAATGTATTCCAACTGTGCCATCAGTTTCGTGTCATGAGATGAAAATTTTGATTCGAAATCTAGGAGAGCACTGCACTGTGTGTATGTTGAACTTCTTTCGCACCGTATGTAGCCAACCATCCTAATCGGAGGTGTGGGGCTAATCAGAGGTGTATCAGAGGATGGCTACTGCAGAAGAGTTTTTACAGGACATATGAACAATCCTCCAAGTGGCCTTAATCCATTACACAGCAGGGTGACACTTTTCCACACGCTCTACTATTATTACAGATGGTTTGTCACATGACAAACTGATTTTCATCTGTATATTCTTTGACTTTCGTAGCTGAAATTTAACCAAGCCAAGTGCAATACCAAATTACATATCATGGGGTGTTTTTTTTGTGACCATTGGTGACTTGGCTGAAACCATGAACTCACTCCACTTGAGAATTCGGTTTAATCACGGGTGATAACCCACATTTAAACCGAGGATCGCAGCAACGCCAGTTCAGCACTATTAACTTCTGAGCCCACCTGAGCTTCGCCCGTTATTGCTTTTCAATGCAGGTCGAGTTGTGTTGAGAGTGTGAAGAAAATATATTTTCGTTTTGTTAATGTTCCAGTTTCAGATTTGGGCTGTGAAGACCGGCACACGGTGGCCTACTTTGTGAATAATGTCAAGGGGGTATTTTTATTTTCACTAAGCAGCAACCAGGGCGGCTTGGTGAGTCATCTCTGAGATCTCCAATCAGCGGTATGAATCAAACACGTGACTCTGCTGAGGCTAACCACGCCTGTACGTTGAGAGAGCAAGACTCCAAGGAGACGATACTGACCATACGTACCAAGCTGGGGCTGATAATTTAGAATAGCTCTGCACAAACAAGCACGCGATAGGCATGAGAGAGGTGCATATTCATCTTTGCACACTCTGCCGATCAGGACAATGATGTTTGATGAGAAATAATGATGTTTGGTGATGACAATTGATGACGATCATCACGATGATAGAAATGAGCGTATTGTTGATGGTGCGAATTAAAGTGATTCACGACAGTGACGAATAATGATGACGACAGTGATTATGATTTCCACAGTCCCCTAACAATGAAGTTGTATGATCAAAGACTTTATTTTAGCCCTGGAGCAAAGAATGATGAATATTAATCTGACAGCAGCAATTTCTAAAGTGTGCATGACATTTTTTATCATCTATTCCACAAATGTTATCCTGAATCTGTTCTTGGTGTCATATTTTGAGACAAAGTATGCACTCAGAGCTCTCGCAGAGCAGTGCAACCCTTCATGTCAAACAATGGAACACTGAAGCGGATATCACAGAGCTACCTCTGAGATCACTTAAAGTCACCTCTGTTCGACACAAGAGGGAGCAGCACTTTCCCACCCACCCTGCCACGTAAGAGTGACTTTTTTCACTTGACGGTCAAATATTTTTAATTCTCAGAGCTAAATTTCGCAAACATTAAGTGCGGTGCAAAATGTAACATTAAGGTTTTTGGTGCAGTACTTTGTTACCATGCTTAGATAATCAATGCTTTGCAATATAATCACAGGTGGCCGATGAAAATCAGACCCAGGATCTCAGCGGTGCCAGCTAATCGCTCTGACCTCTGAGCCACCTCAAGCTAAACCCCAAAATTAATGTAATAGGTTTTTTTTTCTGTGCAGTCATTGTTGATCAGGCCGAGACCATTCAGTCTCTGCACTTGACAACTTGGCAGAGTCGCGGAAGGCTGAAATGTGTATTCGAACCCACGATCCCAACAGTGCCGGCTCAGCGCTCTGACCCTTGGGCCACCTTGGGCCACCTCGACGGGTGGCAATGTTCACAGCTGTACAGGGCGAGGCAAGGGACCTGTGTCGCTGGGCCGTGCCGAGCGCGATGCAGAGGCGTGGCATCCCTGTAATCCAGCATGTTTGCATCCACGCCCCATCCGAGCAGATCCTGCGAGCACCAGCGGCAGAGGAGGAAAGTGCAGACCAGGTCATCTGCCATGCAAGACCCTCTTCGGTTTTCGTCGCCTCCTGAATACATTCGAATGCTGGACAACACAGCTACAACAAGAGGTACCACTGCTCAGTGCTCATTCAGGTCGTCTTCATCATTTCCCAGCGAGAACGCAAGCACGAGATGCTCATCACTCTCCAGAGGTCAATCACTATAAATGTATGTCGATCGCCAAACCGGGGGTAAAATTTTATGTAACGCTGCTTGAATCAATAGCGATTCTCCCTGCCTATGCTGTAGAACGAATGTGGGGCTGGGCTGGCAGTGGGACCGCAGCAAATGAATAATTAAATGCATTTGTACGTAATAATTAAAGAACCCATAAGTGAAAATTGGCGTGAGTGCATGTGAAAACAAATACATTTGTGTGCTGGTTCCACACATTAATCAGAAGGCATTGCTTAAATGTCTCCTGTGCTGTATTTCACTGAGATAGACGGATTCGAGATGGAGAGAAAGATAAAATAGTTTTATTTTGGGTAACAGATGCAGTTATTGGAACTTAAAGTTATGCAATGGATAATTAACGATGCACTGCATACGTATGACTTTCTATGCACATGCAACACGTGTGCCACCACTATCAAGTCGTAAGCCCTTTTATGGCATATGTCTATTTCCAAATAAAAATACAACAGTGTCAAAAAATATTTCACATTTTTCTAATGCGGTATGATTACCTTTGAAAATCGCTATGTGGTAAAAATGGTTTAAACTCGGTAGCCCATCACTTAAACGAGCAGCATTGGCAAGTGCATACACACAAAGATCCCCCATATTGCCTGAACAGATTGTAGGGGCAAGTGCTGTTAGCGAGCACCTATGAAGGCCTGCACGGCACATGAGTGGCGATGTTTACACATCGCACCAGGTACTCATTTGAGGCCGAGTCGCGTGTGTGTGTATATGTGTATATATGTGTATACACACATATATATGTGTATACACACATATATATACACACACACGTGCTCATATACACGCGAAGGCATACGTAGCACATGTTTAAGGTATGCGCAGTGCTTCAGTATGCACGTATAAATAATGTTTATTGTTACGTAGCAATGCATGTAATTATTAGACCAGGAAAGGCTCGGCGAGGAGTCTCATGTAATCCTCGTGTGGCTTTTCCGGGTGCAGCCACGCGTTTGAACATCTCTTCTCTCAAGCTCTCGCCACGCACAGTCGAGAGCTCGTCGGCAGGAGCTGGGCGACCTTCCACAGCAGCAGCAGCAGCAGCCGCAGGGGGCATTGGCGGCGAACGTGCGAGGCGAAAACGTGAGAGCAGCAAGAAAGGCTCAAGCGCGTGGCACCAACCCAGACGAAGCCGAAACTCGGACTATGAATGAGCGTTTGGCGTTTGGCAGAAAGAACCCCTCCCCCCATCCGAGTTCAACGACAGGCAATGATGGCCCAGCCACACCGTGCGACCTCACACCTGGATGGCCTCCGTGTCCCCAAAGTGAGCGGCCGTGTGCAGCAGGCTGCTCCCATTGATGCACCTGTGGGGCAGGGCGACACACAAAGTTCACCCCCCCCACCCACACCATAGCCTGAACAGACTGTTGGGGCACGTGCTGTTTAGGGAGCACCTATGATGAAGGCCGGCACTGTGGCACACGTGGGGGTGGGTGGGCAGCACCACGCCCGACTGCCTCTTGTCTCCCCAGTGGCGATGTTTACACACCGCACCAGGTACTCGTTTGAGGCTGAGTGGACCTAGGGGAGTCCCATCGGCACAGGCAGGACACGGCGAGTGCGCCTGTGCAGTGCGGGGAACACCCCACGTCTCCCTCTTGTGGCATCTGTTTGCAGTGGACGAGAGGCGAAGGCTCACAACGGTACAAAGTGACTTTGTACCGTTGTGAGCGTTTAGCACAGTCACACGGAGGAGAACATAGCATCGCGACGTTTCAAAAGGTGGCCCTTCTTCATGGCAGAATCTATCCTTCGTGTGCTCCTCATGCGCGCAGTGTTATTGGCGAACGTTGAGTTTCCGTTGTTTGTGCTTGTGTACCACTGCCAATGGAGTAACACAGAAACGGTTTAATCCCAATGCGAAACGGCCTTTGCTTGGTCACTGCAACGTGGCACTCTTTAGTAACTATGTATTTATGGGTTTGTAAATATGACAGTTTTCAACCGTTAAATTGTGTGGGTGGAAAGAAAACAAATGGGCTTATATGTCAAACATACTTCATACATTAACCTCGAATGTGTATCCCACACAGACTTAGAATATTTTTTAGTTTACTGGCCTTCGACACTTGCGTTACCCAGCCACATTTGTTTAAAATTGCAAACTCCGGGCTGGTTTCAACCTTCGGGATCTCATAAGCAGAGTCGGGCTTGCCAAACAAACTCTGCTGATTTAATGTATTTTGTTGCGTCAGAGTGCACGTGCATAGCACAATACCCATACGGGTATGACCATAGAATTATATAGATATGAACATAAAAACAAATGTGTGGACATGGTCGTCGGGTTCGTAGCACAACGCGCCAACTGCTACTCTACCGCTCCCCACACTCACACACCTATACACACATGCACACTCCCAAATAAAGACGACATGAGGAAATGTCTCTACAAATAGTCACCTCCCACCCACGAACAGGCATATGAGGTCATTACCAGGCAAGTCTCTTATGGAAAACAACAGCCCCGGCAGCATGGAACCCATTAAGCCAACTCTAGCATTGCATGCACGTGTATGTATTTTGAACTTCTTCCGCACGGTACGTAGCCAGCCGTGCTAATCGGAGATAGTATGATGACCATCAGTCATGATCTATCAACTGCTGGATGAAGGCTTCCTCAAGCCATCTCTGACGCTCCTACGATGTAACAATCCACCTAGTGCCTGCACATGAGCCAATTTCATCGCTCCATCTGCTCGGTGGGACATTATTTTCTCAGTGTACCCAGGCACATTTGCCAAATGAGAGCAACAGGCTCAAAGGCAAAACATGTGAAGGAATCTACACCTGTATCAGTTTAGCAAGAGTTATTTTTTTCTTTATTATGCAAATCTGCCAATTGAAGTTTCTGAAAGAGCTCAATTTAAGAGGGCTACTTGGGAATTAAACCAGCGTACAGAATTTCCACTTAAACGGTAACAGCAATAATAAAAAATGAATCTGTTGGTGTTTTGCAAACATTTGGAGTCAAATTCCAGACATTATCGAGTCTGACATGTTGCTATATCCTTAAGAGCAAGGCCCTCTGTTGTTTCGCGGACATGCTATGCGTAGGCGGTGCAATGTTCTCAGAATAGTTTTGTGCAGTTTGTAAACAGCCCGAATCACCGCTCTTTTACGCAATTTCCTGCACACTGAAGGGCTCGCTTGAGTGGCTTCCAAACCTGCACCCACATTACTTTTATAGTCGTAATGAAACACCTGGCTATGCTATTTATGCCTCGTGTTTGCTTATGTTGAGCCTGTAAATAGATTTTTAAGCCAATGAAATCTTCACGTGTTGCTATATAAAATATAAATCTGCAGAAACTCAGATTAAAACATGCAAAAAAATGTTTCACCACTGAATACAGGTGACATGGCACATGCCCTCAACAAGAATGCATTCGCTTTTATATTATTTATTATTCATGTATGTGTATTTTACCAAAAAATTATGTACATAATTCTAATGTAATTATTTCTACGTTTTATATTATGTTAGGCATTCTGCACATTTTTGGCAATACACATTAGCAAAGTAATTATATTGCATTAAAAAACCAATCACACTGCAAACATACCTTCTTGAAAAAGGGTGAACATTTTTTACCGCCATCATCTCCAATAATTAAAATTTTCAACGATTACTTTAAGTTTCAGCAAGAAAATATTTATAGTTACATACACGATAATGATTTCCAATGAGGCCATGTAATGATCTGACTAACATTTTTTCAAGTATCCTGAGCAGGATGCATCCTTAGCAGGATGCTTGGTGCAGTTTAAAGTGAAATGTCACGTCTAATTGATACATTTTCGTGGTGAGAAGTGTTCTTAAATTTACTGGTGAGCCAAATAAATAATTGGTGCGTTAAAAGCATTTACACCTGACAACTTGATTTGTTTGGGTATATCTGGTGATGAAGGATAACATGACACAAATTTGTCCGGATCATCAAGTGGCCTAACCCAAAAAATATATTCTGAATCAAAATACTGGCTGTGAAAACCTAACTGTAAAATTAAGAAATATTTGTTTAAATATTGAGATACAATATAATTATTTTGTTGTTATCATTGCCGTTTAATTACCTGCAACTCAGGCTCGTCAGCTGTCGCTTGCCACTGATGTGGTCTCCAACTATGGCTCTCAGCTCAGCAGTATCTCCATTCATAATTGATGACACAGCTTGTCTCCAAAATTCTTCATACTCTAAAGAGAAAAAAAAAATGAACATGAAAAAAACATCATTAGACCTCCTTTGCCAGTACCAACATGTAATAATAGGGTTTTCCCCCTTTTTTCTGCCAACAAAACTGAAACCTTTTTACGAGGATTCATGCCTGCATTATCCACAATACCTGCAGTCAAAATGCAAACAAAAAAACATACAATGCATATATTATCATAGTATGTTTTTTGTTTGCATTTTGACTGCAGGTATTGTGGTTAATGCAGACATGAATCCTCGTAAAAAGGTTTCAGTTTTGTTGCCAGAAAAAAGGGGAAAAACCCTATTATTATTATTATTATATGAAAAAACACTTAGACGGATGGAACAGTCACTACTGAGCCTGCTAAGTTGCTTGATAAACAGTTCGTGGAAACATATTTGCACATCTGGAGTACATGTTTCCTAGCACCACACCATGAAATGCCATGCCCACACTACTGAAGATATGGAAGTCATGGTCCCTTCGCCGAGACATTGGCCACATCCATGCCTTCATGAACCCCTAACAGAACCTTGATTTTCTTTAGTCACTGTAATGGGAAATGAACATAATTCATGATCCAGCCAGGATTGTAGCCAAAGTCTATGCCAATATGGTGCAGCATTCCTAACATGCATATGCAGCTGGAAGCAATTGTACTACAAATTATAATCCCTATGCTATTTATAGTAAACATTTAAATTAAGGTTACTTTTGTGAGTTTTAGTCATGCTTTCAGATGTTTTTCCAATCTGTGCAGAAGTGGCAGAGATTGAAACATTTTTACTTAATCATAGCATCAGAATTAAATTTTATATGGAGAAAACGCACTCCATTTGGTTAAAAACTAATTCCCATGGTTAGTTGATTTGTGATTACTAAACATGATAAAAAAAAACGTAATTGAGCTGGCACCGTCGAGATCCTTGGTTGAAATCCAAGCAGTCGCCTTCAATGAAATCAAGTTCTTAAGTGTAGAGAGTTCATAAATCTCAGCACAGTCATCAATGACTAAATTTGGTTCTACAATTAATTTGGCGAAAAGCCAGCTCTGAGAATTAAAAATATAATTTTGACTGTGAGCGTGACAAAAAATACTCTCATTGGCAGAGTGGATGGGAAACTGCTGCCTTCTTGTGTGTGGACCACGGGTCACTTCAAAGGATCTCAGAGGTAGCTCTGTGATATCTGCTTCCATGGGCCATTCTCTAACAGAAGGGTTGTACTGCTCTGTGAGAGATCCAAATGGAGAGTTCATCGCGTAATGAGGCTGATAGCACAGTTGGGATAACAGTGAAGGAAATGCACAAAAAAGTGTCTCCTTGCTAAACTGAGCTCCATTATACACGAGTGATAATTCCAAATTCCTATTATTATATATTTTTTATCAAGTTTGTTTACCCAGGAACTTGTACTTTACTACCAATTTCTTTGCAGTAGGGGGCGATTATCACTACGCATTTTCCAATCGCGTAATTTGCGGGGGAATTATTCATATTTGGACCGTGACACCAGCACACAATGGCCCACTCTTGCGAATGACATCACAGGATCTCGTGAGGACTCGTCACCGCCTCAATGACAGAAACCAGCCAAACCACAGTACAACCACCGTCGATACACCAGAAAGTGATACTATTTTATCGACCCCCTCATTAAGATTTAAAATCGCCACTCTTGGATTATGTTAGGTGCTTTAACCACAACACCGCACAGTAAACGTATGTATCTTGTGTCTGTTGCGTATTTTATATTGTAGAGCCAGTTATTCCATTTGTTCACTTGTCCACAACCTCAGTGGTATATTTATATCGTTCACAATTCAGAATCATAATCTTTATTTAGACTGGAGTAATCCGATGAGCTATGAAGCTCTTTTTCACAGATTTTACTGGACATCTGTGATTTTGCGACATCAATGTATTCCCTATGCATCACGGAAACTTGTATTTGTCCGTCCTGTGTTTTCACAAAATGTTTATTTGATAAGGATAAAAAGGTAATTCAAACTGCTGTTCAGTCTCGGTGATCAACAGCCTCTTCAATCGCAGTTACATTAATGTAATTACATGGCCCAGTGGACGGTTACACTAAAATATACGTAAAGTATTACAATTAACACCTAAATAATGTTCTGAGGCTTTTTTGAAGTAAAAGAGGTATTTAAGGCATGGGAAAGAGCACTATATTGGACATTGAATTGAAAATCCAAGATAATTTAACACGCATGCCTATTAGAAAACTAGCAGTCAGAAAATGGGATGCAATCAGGCCCTCTGACCCCTACCCATCTGGAGAATCATACATTCCACAGCACAGCCCAACATAAAGCAGGTTCATCGCCATAATTTGCTTAATATAGTGTCAATGCCTTTGGTTCTCGGCACGGTGGTATAGGAGGTATCATACGTATTTTGAGATGGCTTTGGCAATGTCATCTAACCTGCATCACAATACGCGGTATTCTCTAGAGAGTACAATAACATTCTGACACATGCATCTGTGTGGCGACATTAGATAATCCAGATTAGCAGCTGTAAGTACAAAACATTGTAGGTTAGAGAGCAAAAAGCAATATGGCAAGGCAGTGCATTGAGAACTCCATTTTGTTATATCATTCGACTGCACAAAGAAGTGTGCATGGGGAAATATTAAATTGCACATACAATGGATATTATATTGCCCCAAAACTATACAGATCTAGACAGTGATATTGGTAAGCTGTGTGGTAAGTTTTGTAGAGATTAATTTAGAGATGTTGCAGCTTCAAATAAAACACGTGGACGGACAGATGTAATATTTCCCATTCATAGCAATAAGTAGCCTTTAAAACAACAACCCCAATGTGTGTGCAATGACTATCATCCATCAATTGAAATGTATCAGATGAGTCCGTACTAAATCTTGCTATGCTACCAAAGGGCAACTAAAAAGATGTGAGGTAGACTGACCAAAAACATCTCACCAACTTTATGTTGGACATATGTTTGTTGTATTCTCAAAACACAATCTTAACCCTTTCCCGTTCCGATGACGTACACGGACTGGAAGAAAAAATAAAATAAAATTACTTCATCGGTTCTGAGGCTCCCACAAGGCTATGTGGGAGGACAAGTGGCACAGTTTGTCGCCAGATATCAGGGAGTGTGGTCGTGTCACTATCGTTCTCTGTGGTGAGTGCAACGTCAATAAACGCAACGGCGCTACGCCTCTCTAAATAAAATTGACGCTGAACCGATTGCGCGCTCTGAGATTCAGCGGTGAACGGGACACCACCCACCCTGCAACTTGCAGTCGTCTCGGATCGGAAAAGGGTTAAGAACAAGTCGGTGAGACATGCATTGGAGTGGTCACCAGTGGTCGGAGATCAAGAAGAAGCCAAGGGCAAATGGGGGGGGTATTATGTGCAGGTGACCCTTTGAGGTTGGGTGTGCAACAGCTGTAGGACCTGGCAGGACAGAAACAATGGCCTGGTGTAATGACATCTCAAGGCATCGGCAGTGATGACCACTTAATCGGATCGTGATCTTGAGCGTGATTCTCTGAACTAAAATTGTAAAAAGGCAGATTATCTGACATCTTATCCAATGGGTAATTTTTTTTGTTAAATAAATGACCGTACGAGCTAGTTTTTCTTGTATATTACTGTACTGTAATTATACATTTTGCAGTTTAATGGCCGAAAAGTGCAATGGAAGAAGCAGGAGCAGCTGCTTCACATCAGACTCCACTGGGGGACCACGTGTGTGCGTTGCAGGGATCACTCAAGGTAGATCCACTGCGCTGCACATGAAATGATGATGCAGCATACTATCCGTGTCGCACGAGACAGGATGACAATGCTGTTTGTGGTGAGCATATCAGCAGTCACAGTGGGGCTTCCATGTGAATGAAATATGTTGTAATGCAATACAATGCAGAATGCAGCGATACACAGCAACAAGGTTTGGAGGGGAGGAGGTGCGGGGGGGGGGGGTTATTTCCATCGTGGTGTTTGATTGGTTTAAAATCCCCCATGCAATCGCAAATACTTGAATGGTTTTCCATAATCAAGTCCTCTATGGAGATATGTTTCATGGCCGGCTGCCCTCCCATCTCAGATTCTCAGAATGCAGGTGTAATTAAAGCTTGGAGGATGCAGTAATAGCAGCACAAACATTTAACTGTGACAATTAAGCATTAACAAGAGCGTTCAGCAGACTTTGGCGCCTGAATTAATTTCCAGGATTTGTCAGGGAGCATAGGAATGTGGCTGTCACTTAAGAGCATTAGTACCTTTTTAATTGTCAGTAGGTTATTAGAAGATCTTTGATCAACGTTATGTTAATTATAGTTTAAATTAGGAAAAAATTACAGTGTTAAAATGAAAAAAAGATAAACATTGACACATTGTTTTCTTTAATCATCAGTCCACATTTGTAAAATTGCGGCGTTTCATATATCGAGGCAGATAGTTTCGGTGGTTATTTGAAACCTAATATTAAACATTCGCTTCAGTCTTCAAATAATTTCCTTTTCTTTATTTAGAATTTCAGTTTCAAAATGTGCGTTGACATAAAGGGATAAAGCAAGTTATTTCTAGACGGCCTTCGAGGGGTATGGACGACACTACGAGTGGTTAATGAAGTAAACACATCCTGCAACAGTGAGCTCAGTCATTTGGAAAGCACATGCTGGTAAATAAATTAATTACTCTTTGTACACCACCGTTCACTGAATTAACCTCAATTTTGTGGCAGGGGGGGCTGAACAAACGGAATTGATTTACATCCAAAAAAACACAACGTTCAACGGGGGAGCAGAGGAAACAATTAAGTCAGTGTGCTTCAAAGCACAACAAAACATCGAGTGAAAACGAGCAAGGAGACGTTTTCATCTGAGAAATGGTGATTACGATTGTCATGATCAAATAGCTCAACCACTTTTGATTTAAAGCTTTCGTGACTGCAGGGATTCATATTCTTGGTTCTTTCGGTAAAGTCACGTAGAAGGGAAACA